TTTGTACAGTTTTTAAACAACAAAGACATGCAAAAGTTAGAAAGACTTCAATAAATTATTTGTTTTCCCAGGTATTAATCCAGCCAGTAGGAGGAGGAGAGAAGGGAAAGGATCAAGTAATCAGTGTGAAAGTGACCTGCAGGACCAGCGCCTGATGGGGCGAAAACAGCCAATCAACAGTGATTGCTGTGGCGGATGTCATCACACAGATGTCTCCTCTCATGACACAAAGCCTCACACAGATACTGACACACACAGTTAATAGATGGATGGATGGATGTGCATGCATGGAGGGAAGAAAAGAAGTCACTTGAGATGAGGATGACAGGTATTAACACACACCGGCTGCAGATTGTGTGTTTGCAGGTTACCATGGGTTGCTGAGGAGGTTGCTCGTGGTCATTCTCTGCTGGGCTGCTGGACGAAGCTAAAGTGGATGACAGGAGACACCATTAGTTAGTGTGTGTGTGTGTGTGTGTGTGTGTGTGTGTGTGTGTATAACTGTGTCTGGGTGTGGTTGCTAAGAAAGCACAGCTAATCGCTTATTTTGGCAAGTTCTGTGTAACGGGCAGACAGTGAAAGGAAAGTGTAGGAAATGTCTTGCAGATACACACACACACACACACACACACACACACACAAACCTTGAGCATTTGTGCACTTTAATTTTTTTTTTTAAACAATCTGGCTTGCGTCTCTGGAGCAGAACATTGCCCAAATGTTCCCAAGCTGAGCTCCAGACTTCAGAGGAGGAGAATGTGAAGAATGCTCCGACTCTTCTCTTCATAATGTGGTGAAATTGGACATGATTTAATCAGAGTATCAGGTTTAATTAGCTTGGAAGGCCATCCCGACCTGTACGTTTAAAGCCTTCTCTGCAGCAGCATCAGCAGCAGCAGCAGCCGCACACGTGTAGAGGGATTCTGGCGAAAGTGGTGATTACTGGAAGGGGGATTCCCAGTGCACAGCCAAATGTGACTGGAGATGGCCTGGGTCAGGGAGAGGCTATCTGCATATGTGTGTGTGTTTACAGCACCTCAAAACACCTGTTTGCACTGAATGATTACCTTCAGAACAGCATTCCTGCTGTGAAGTTTGACCCCTGTTGGTGGGGTCAGGCTCTCGACTTTTGACCTCGCTGAGCACCGTTTCGTCACTCTCAGTCCTCTCCTCTGTGTCTTCTGTTGCTTCTGTCAGTTTCTTCTGTGTCTTCCTGTCGATGTCAGAACCAAATGATATTGCTCTTTGCTGAAGGGACCTCACTTGTGCAAACACAAAGCTGTTTACTTTAGATTAGACAGGTTTCCCAGTTTTGTTCATGTCACTGAACGACACAGGATCGGTGATCTCTGCTGGATAATGTTTTGTCACAAAGTCAGATATCTGTGCGAGTGCTTGTTGTTAGGTTTGATTTAAACCAGAACTGTTCTCCAGTTCTGTGGTGAATTTGGCCTGCACTTGAGTACTCTGTGTGCTCCATCTGTGTGTGTGTGTATCTGTGAGTGTGCGTGCGTATTTTAGCACTGCTGTCCTGGGTAAATTGAAACTGACTGATCATAATTTTAACATTTGAAATTTTACACTGATTAACTGTTTAAAAGACAGCTGAAAGGTTCAGGACTTTTGTGGGAAAGTTTTGCAGCCTCTACATTGAAGACAACATCTTGTGCAACTATGTATATGTGGAATTCTTTAATGCACTTGCTGTTTACGCTGTTTACACTTGCTGATGCATTATTAAAACACGTGGTCCTATACAGTATTTACTGCTTGGCAAAAGGCAAAAGACTGGATATATCCACATAGCCCAAACAAGTCTAAGAGTCTACAGTGTGGTGCAGGAATGAGTCCTTAAACCCTGAGATGAGTTAGCATTTTAGCACCCTTGTCTCATAGGCCATTTATTTTTTGAATGGGTTTTTGGTTAGATGCCTGAAATAAGGTCTGTGGTTGGTTAACACAAGCTTAAGAGTCTTTCACGTTTTGTCCTATGGCGTCAGTAAATACCACCCTTGTAAATTTTGAAGCTTTTAGATGTCTTACAAAAAGGTGGTTGCTACCAGTGGCTAAATGAGACTAAGAGCGTCATCACACTGAACAGCCTCCACAGTCTTGTGGTGGTGGTGACATTGAGTCATACAACCATGGTGTGGTTCATTTATAGCCTAATGTTAGCCTATTACTTCTGGCAATTGCATTTACATTTCAGTTTTAAAAGTGGTGTTAATTTGTGAAGCTTATGTTGGCAAACAAAAACATGTAAGTATCATAAAGTTCTGCTTGCCACTGAGCTAGTTTTCTGCAGTAATCCAAAATTCCATGGAAACATCCCATTGGGTTTTTTGTTGCAGAACAAGGGCAATGTTAACTTCCGCATGGGCCTGCAAAAACATCATCCCTGCAGCACTCTATGACTGTATATAAAGAAAATAAAAAATTCAAAAGAACATGTCAAATAATTTTTTTCTAAAGATGGTTTCTATAATTTTAGGTGGTTCTTGTTTTATTTGATGGTATAAAAAGGGGTTTGTGACATCACAGTTGACACCAGTGAGTGTTAATCAGTGTGCTTGCAACCAATGGCCCTGGACAAGTGTATGGGCGGGAACTTCTCAAATGCTACTGCACAGACTCTCACTCCAAAAGTTCAAGATATCTGGCCGTATCCACTGCACTTTAGCTCCATTTTTGTAGAACAGGAGTATGTGGAGACGTGTTGTTCATCTTCACATACAGTCTCTAGGCACAGCGCTTTGAGACTAATGCTACTGTCAGCATACTAACATGCCCACAATAACAAAGCTAACAGGTAGGTATAATGTTGATCATGTTATTAGGTTAGCATGTTAGCATGCTAACATTTGCTACAGAGTCCTGCATTGGATACCTGGCAGTGGATCAGCAAAATAGATGATTCGATTGTGGTATTTTGTCCTGATTCTTGGTTCTGGTTGAAAAAACAAACCTATGGGTTGGAATGTGGGTGTTAGAAGATGCATATATCAGAATAAATTGAGAATAATGATAATTGATTTACTGTTTTAATGGTTTTATCCTTTATGTCAGCTCTGTCATCTGAGCCACCTGGAATATTAGAGCTGCTTCACTCAGGTGCGTTACTAACAGGCATGTTAACTGTGGAGATGTGCCGCTCAGTATTATGTGAGTAAGCAAAAAAATATTCACTTAAATTGTATTGCCTGAATAATCATCATTTTAAAATATATTATCTTAGTTTCACATGTATAAAAAAATCCCCAAATAATCACTTTTAAATGTGCTGCCTAGCTAATTTTTTTGAATAGCGAGTGCATGGTTATAGCATTTGTGGTTTTGGGTCAGGCAGCAGATCTTGTGTTGGCGAGCCGGGTTGGGTTGCAGAACTAATTGGTCATATGTGCGGGTGGCGGGGCAGGAGCTGTAACACATGTTGCGGTTTTGGTTTGGAAGCGGGTCTTGAGAATCAGATCTGTGCTGGACTCTGATTTGCTAATTATCACTAAACACAAAGTACAGCTGAGGCTGATGGAAATGTCATTTGCTTTGCAAGATTTACTTCGGCTGACCGACCGACAATGCCATCCTTGGAGCCGCAGCTCTGGCATGACTAAAAAAAATCTGAATTACACAACACTTATGCAAGAGCTACAGAAGAGACACTGAAATGTTGTCAGCACTCTGTGCACGGTTGCCCAATCAGGAGCCAGAGAGGCAGTGACAGCAAGAGCGTGAGACAAGTTGATGCAAACAACATAATTGACTTTTAGACCACAGTCTTTTTCTCCCTCGCTCTCACATGTATCTAAGCATGTGCTGACTCTGTCTGTCACTTCACTGCACTCTGTCGTCTCTCTTAAGTTTCATTACAATACAATACTGAGCAATACAGACAAGCACACAGCAAAGGCCTGGGCCAAGCCAGAGTTTGTGACCTTTAACCAAACTGAAGTTTCTATTAAAGACTCGAATGTCTGCGGAAACAACGGGGGAAGTTTCTTTTGGAGGACGCACTCAACCATGATGTACTCCTCTATATTAAATTTGGCACCAAGCATTCCCTGTTGACATCATTACTTGTTTGGACATCTCCTGCACACTCTACTATGTGTTGGTGGAATTAAATGATAAAATCCCAAAAAGGCTGCCATGTTTACACACGTCATCTTCAACATTTGGACTTTACGATCCAGTATCCTTCACGGACAGCATGTGTGCAGTCATTTTTAGCATTTATGGCCTCAACCATGGAAGAGTTAGCACACTAAAAGTGACACATAGAGTCAATCTGTTAACCCTCAGTAGGTTTAACAAATTAGGAAAATTTAGCCACCATTAAATTTTAGATCAAACTGTGGCATTATTTGTGTTTTGTTTCTTATATTTGAAGGTGCTGTATGGTAAATGGTAAATGGACTGCACCGTATAGCACCTTTCCAGTCTTCTGACCACTCAGAGCGCTTTTTACACTACTCCATTCACACACACATTCACACACTGGTGGCCAAGGCTACCATACAAGGTGCCACTTGCCACTCAGTAACCATTCAAACACTCTTACACACTGATGGAACAGTCATCAGGAGCAATTTGTGGTTAAGTATCTTGCCCAAGGATACTTCGACATGCAGACTGGAGGAGCCAAGGTTCGAACCCCCGATCTACCTCTGAGCCACAGCTGCCCCTATGGAACTCTGGAGAATGATAGTAGATAGCTGAATCTTATTACAAGTTTGTCAAATACCAATGCTTTGGGTTGGTAGTCGGACCGAACCACCAACTCAAAGCCTTGGTATTTAATAACATGGGAATGAGGCTTAAACATTTATGGATGAATCCCTCCGATGTTTCCTCTAACGCTAATGCTACCCATCTTGATGTGCACTTCTCTTTCACCAGTCAACCTAATGTGAGCAGTGCTGGAGAAAGCAGAAAGTGAAGCAATACCTATCCTAAGTACATTTCTCAAAGACTTCTCAGAGTTGTTTAAAACTATGTGGGTAAACCATGCCAAACAAAATTAGAGTAAGTAAACTATAAATGTGTCTGTAGAGGGACTTTAATATATTTTCTTGAGATACAAAGACAAGCTCATGAGCCACACCTCTGGTAAGTAGCTGGGTCACTGATATTCCACATCACTTCCTGCCCAAAAGAACCCACATGTCCACTGTCCTTTGTCCACAGTCCAGCGGAGCCGTCAGCTGAGGCTGTGAGGATGAACAATCTGTCAGCCACCTCAAGGACTTCCACACTTACTAATGCTCTCTCATGAGCCTTCCAACACTGCAGCAGAGGAGGACAATCACAAGCTGGCTGTGTGGAAAGAGAACACCTCAGGTATAGAGGGATATACAGTACAGCATACATTTTTTATGTATTCGCACTGCCTCACACACACAAAGACATACACTCACCTCGCGTTGGATGTCCAGTGCATAGTGATAGATGTCCCAGATCTGAAGCCAGCCCGCTGTGTCTCCGGAGACCAGGATGGTATTTGTGGTCTGATCTGAGCTCAGGCACAGCACACGCTCACCTGGCTGCTGTGGAGCATAGAACTGGCCTGGAATAGGGAAAAAAAAAACTTTATTTATGCAGTTTTCCAAACATAACAAACCCAAATAAAATGTAGATGCATTTACATTTTTATAAGAGTCTCCTGTAGGTTTGGGCTCCTGAGGGTCTACAAGGAGAAATTTGCATGTGTATAAATGTAGTTATAGTCAGATTATCTTCCAATGTCAAGAACACTGTCTGAACTTCTGAGGCAAATTGCTACCCTTTAATGTTATGTCACACATCTCCCTATTATGTCACACTCTCAAATTCCTCTCTGCTAGAAAAATGTATGGACACATAATACAGACATATACACACACACAAATGCACACTGGCTCACTCACACACCCATGCATGCTTGTACACATATGCCGCGGTCACAGTGCATGAATCCCACACCACTAAACACAGATGGGATCTGGAAAGAGACATAGTTGTGGGCTGCCAGGAATGGTACAGGCAGGAGGCCAAGTCGACAGTTCAGCCTAACTGTCACTGCTCGGGCTGTTTGTAAATCCGTCTTATGGGAGGATCATTACAACTGACAGCTGCTTGTCAATTGCTCGTACAGTTTGGTGCTTCGACCTCCCTCATACTGGGAGAGTTTTATTCTAAATTCATGTTCTTCATACATTCTTCTGAATAATACACTAAGCATTCACCCTACCTCTCTCTTCCCCACTCACCGTAAGTGAGTGTCTGTCCAGTGATGCTCCAAAAGCAGACACAGCCAGCCTGCGATGACACCAGGATACCTCTGTTCCTCAACTTCCTGTTGCTGGCCCGATGCTGAAGGAACAAGAGGCTGTCCACAGGGGGCAAGGTTCTGGATGCACATGAGCAGAGGAAAAAATAAACAAGCAATAACAAAGGATATCACCCACTAAGGATGCAGTACTCGTGAGAATATTGTATAGTTTCCATCTAGGCACTTTTTTAAAATCTTTTACTTGGATGACATTTATGACATATTTGTCCATCCATTTTCATGTGCTTATCCAAGGCCGGGTCGTGGGGGCAGCAGGCCAAGCAAAGCACCCCAGTCGTCCCTCTCCCCAGCAACGCTTTCCAGCTCCTCCTGGAGGACCCCAAAGTGTTCCCAGGCCATATGAGATATGTAATCCCTCCAGTGTGTTCTGGATCTACCCCTGGGCCTCCTACCAGTGGGACGTGCCTGAAACACCTCCAGCGGGAAGCACCCAGGAGGCATCCTGATCAGATGCCCGAACCACCTCAACTGACCCAACTGATGAAAAGGAGCAGTCCAGATGTCTGCGCTCCTTACCCTATCTCTAAGGCTATGCCCAGCCACTTCACAGAGGAAACTCATTTCAGCCGCTTGTATCTGTGATCTCATTCTTTTAGTCACTACCCAGAGCTCATGACCATGGGACATGTTATTTGCTTTACTCTCCTTGTGTTGTGTTTATTGTACAGCACTTTGTAACTTTGTTTTGAAAGGTACTATATAAATAAACGTTTACGGACCATTGGTTTATTCTTTAACAATGCATTGCATTTCGTAGCATATTATATGCTTGTTTTTCTTTAATGCAGTATAATATTGTCCTCTGAAGTGTTGTGGAGTAGAGGTAGCGTAGAGTGGAAATAGTTAAGAAAAGTAAATAAGTACTTCAAACACTTACTTAAGTACACTTCTTGAGTAAATATAATCAGTTACAAAGTCTTGGAATTTATTGTGTTATCCTTAACATTTTTGGAGAGTAATAAAAAAAGATTAGTGTCAGTTTGATTAAAGTCAAAACTTGTAGGATCCCACATCTGGTCAGTGGTGCCTATGATATCACAAGTGATGAAGTGAGGAGACAAATTTTAGCTTGCTCAAAATGAGTTTATATTGGGACGGTTAAAAATCTTAGCAGGTCGACCACAGACTATAAAGATAATCGATGTAGCCACCATGACGTCACCCATTGGTTTGTGGGCTCCCATTTTAAAGCCTCTAGTTTGGCATTTGGCCGTAGCCAACATGGATATTTAGAGCCAGAAGTGACCTGAGGTACAGGACTGCATTGGGACTGGGATCCCAAGAGTCCTGCGGGACCCAATACAAACCTCGTAGGAACACTTGGTTTTATCTTTGCTGCTTGTGGGAGCAGGCGGTCGAAAAAAACACGTGGGTTCAAGAGATTAATTAACTTGAAGGATGGAGATGTCAACAAGTGAAGCAGAAAATAAGATAAAAGCAAGACATTACAATACAAAAGAAAAGTAAGGCATATTATAGATAATAATAATAACACTGAACCCCAGGGACACCAGAATAACTGTAATTATGAATGAAATTATGCACTAGAATGTAATTTCAGTAGCTATTACTAACAGTTATGATTATCTTTCTTAATACCACAGTAAAATAATGTGTTTTCCCTGTGGCAAAGCAGAAGACTCAATTTATTGATAATCAATCAGGGTGTGCAGGAGCAGGATTAGGAAAACAGTCTTGCGCAAGGCTTTAACAAGAGGTGACGATATTTGAATGAATTTTAACTTTAACATGTGTTTTTGGGCATTTTTAACATGGGTGTCTATGGGGACTGACTGGTGTCTGGGGCCTCAGGAGGTCACTTGAGGAACTTCAGTTTTTGGCACTTGGTGTCGGCTTAATTCTTCAGTTGCCACTTGAAGATAACACACACACAAAGCTACATTTTCTCACCCATTCTGTGTCTGTCTCTGTAAGTGAAGCACTGGTCCTTGCGTCTCAAGCCTCCAGATAATGACATCTCCATCATGGCTCGCCGTGGCAACAACGCCCAGAACAGAGCACTGACACATGGCCAAGATGTCTGATTTGTGGACACCGCTGGACTTCCATGACATGTCAGCTCTTACATACAAATCCTATACGTACAGTAAAGATGGCAATATTAAACAACAGCAAAGCTTGTTACTGACTACATAAATGAAGGAAACATTTGAATGTAATATTCAGGTTCAAAATCAATAGTCCTATGCTGTATTCCACTGTGTGCCTGAGCTTGTTGGTTGAAATTGTGCAACTCCTTGCACATCACTTCTCACCATGTGACAGTTTACAAATGATCTGAAATCACATGTAATTGTTTGTGTTGCCTTGTGGAAAGCAGCTCTATTTCCTTCTCTGCTTTACTGATTTTGTTTACACCTCTGGGCTACAGTGTTGAGGTCAGCTCTTTAAAATGGACTACGCGGAGGCTCAGCATGATGGACGCCAGAGAAATACTGCTGCAGATGTCTTGCATGGCACAGATGTCTTTGATCTCAGCAGGTGCGTGTGTAAATGTAATTTACATCATTCACTGATACCATTTACTCTTAAAAAAACCCATCACCTGCTTGTTTATTTTTTACTAAAAATGTTTTCTCGCAGACCTGGCTCTGCTGACACAGGGGGCTTTACAATGAGAAACATTATGAGTAGGGGAGAAAGAGGACTGGGAATTTGCTGGAGAAGCATGAATACTGAATGTTACTGCTGTAGTCGAGGGATGAATCCAACCGCAGAGCAGATGGTAGTTAAAGGTTGAGAGGTAAAATGTAACACAAGAATTTGAGGTGTAAAAATATGCACGTCTAGACTTTTGTCTCATGTTGCAGGTCATACTGGTGTTTATACTGGCACTGGCAATGCTTCATCTTTATTTTTTATAACCAGAGTGTCAGCGTGCATTAATGTGTCAGTGGATGTGGTGAATCTTTTTTATGCTCTAAAACGTTCTAGACATTACTAACAATAAAAAGACACAAGAGTTCTGATTTAAAGATACCACAGATTCACCTACATATTTATTGGATTTATTCAAATACACTTTGTGCTACAATTGCAGGAAATATTTTCTCAGGCTGAACGACAAACTGTTTCTTAACAAAAATGTAGTGTTTTAAGTCTGTACCAGATTAGTCACTATGGTGACAGCTGTTTGTGTGGGAATCATCATCCAGCATTCAACATCTGGGGAAGAACTTGTGGATGAGCAAAGGCGTGTAGGCTAAGACTTTTCGATGTGTGCATCTTGATGTATTTAAGATTTTTGGTCATTAGTGAATGTGCGTGCTGCACTTCCCGGAATCGCCTGTCAATCTAAAGTTCTTGTAATGTATTTAATGCTGTGATTCTGTCTTTTTTGTCTGTCCAGTAATGATATCTGCTCACGCTAACTGCAGTTATCCTATTTTTCTAAACAAATGGCTCTTACTGTTAGAAACATGACAAAGTATTTTTTGTCCAGCAAAGCATTTTTCCCTGAAGAGACCTACCAGACATGCACAAAATTAAGAATGTCTTGCATTTTTTCTTACTTCAAGTTTGATTATATGAGGTATCCTGCGGCAATGCGCCAAAGAAAGCAAGGAAGAACAACACTGCTAGCAAGCAATATACTTGAACAATGCGAGTTTCACGCCTACAGAGGATTACAGAAAGCAGATTCTATAGAGCACTCAGGGAGAACTGATACAATTGTATTGACATTTTTTCTCAAACTAAGTTGTGGCTATGGAAACGTAAGTACACACATAATAGGCTATGCAACTAATTACACTCTTACTCGCATCCAAATGTGAATTATCTGCAATAAAATCCAGCAGACATATAAGGAAAAATTTACGCTTCCCAAGAGCAAGCAATAAAATTAATGTTGTTGTAAAAATACCTAATAAATGCACAGCTGAGGTAATAAGGTTTCAGTAAGGCACAACAGCATTTTAACATAATTCTAATAGTTTTGGAAATATATCCAGAGATATAGTGGTTGTGCTTGCAGATGTGCATATCAGTAAAGACTGGACTATTGGCCTTGGCAGACTGGTGTGTGCTCTCCAAGTTCCCTTCTATTTATTTTGTTGTGTTAGTTAAAAGTAAACAGTTAAAGAGTAACTTAAAATCTTGTTTTGCTGCTATTCAGGGGTTTATGTTCTCACTTCGTTGTGATACTACATGGATCTACTCCCTCTGACATCACTGTTATGTGTGATTACAGGTGCAACAGGCCTGAAACATTCAACCAGAGAAGGCAGGGAAACACTGATTCTCAGCCTGGTGTAAAGTCACTTTTAAGTTTCATTTTACCTTGGCAGTTGCAATGTCATACTGAGCGATTCGCTGGCTCCACCCCACAGCCAGCAGCTTGTTGTCATGGAGACAGGTCAACCCGGTGACCTCAGAATTGGTGACAGGCTCCAGTTTGTGCAAATTAAGGCCATTTAGTAAGTTCCACACCTGCTGGGGAAACGATCCTCTCATTAACAAACTCTTTCTCTCTGACTTTCTCATATATGTGAAATAAATATGTATACACATTGTTGGTGCACCAACTGGAACAAATTCAGCATTCTTGTACAAACTGATAGTAAGAAGTGGTATCAAACCTTAACAGTGCCATTGCGAGCCCCAGTAATCAGCCTTTTGTGGGAGGAGTCTAGTGCCATGCAGGTGATGGCATCCTCTCCATGAGCGTTTAAGATCTGAAGTCGCCTCCTTCCTGTCTCCACATCCCACAGAGACATAGATGAATCGACATGTCCAGTCACTACCTGTCTCAGAGCAGGGTTGTACAAAGCGCAGGAGAGGGCAGGACCACTTTGAATTTTTGGTTCCCTCTCTTCATCTGTCAGCCATCCGGCCCCTCCTCTTCTTGTCTCAGCCAAGTTGAGCAGGGCCAGGTAATCTTTGCATCCCACCACCAGATGAGATTGTGTATGCTCAGGAAGAGGAGGGCTCAGCAACAGGAAGGGGAAGTTGCAGTGTTCTGGGATTCGACCTGGCTGTTGGCAGGGGAACTGCAGGGAGACGGCTTTCAAACAGTGATGACTGGAAATGTCCCAAACCCTCAGCTCCTGACAAAGAAACAATTCATTCACTTAAAAATAAACAAGCTCTGTTGTGATCATGTTGCATAAAACAGATCTAAGCATCATCTCTAATGACTCACAGCATCTCTGGAGTAGCTGAAGATCTGCCCAACAGGTTGGTAGATTGCAACATCCAACACAGTGGTGCGGTGACCCAGCAGCGTAGTTACGGGACGTGTGGTCACAAATCGAGTCCATAGTCTGACTGTTCGGTCACAACCTCCTGTGACTAGCAACTGCAGAGACGCATTGTAGTCGAAACATTTAGCTCCCTGAAATGAGACAAAAAGACCAGGATGGGATACAGAATATGTTGCTTAATGCAGATACACATGAACTGGTGTATAAAGGGACAGTTCACCCCCAAAATCAAAAATACACCTTTTTCCTCATACCTGTAGTGCTGTTTATCCATTTAGATGGTTTTGGTGTGAGTTGTTGGGTGTTGGAGATGTCGGCTGTAGAGATGTCTGCCTTCTCTTGAATGTCATCGAACTAGATGGTACTCGGCTTGTGGTGCTCAAAAAAATACATTTTAAATAGTCAACAGCAATGTCTCTTTCCATAAATAGTTATAAGATAAAGATAATCCACAAACCTTGTTGTGAGCAGTTTCATGTAGGAACTATTTTATTTCTACCGAACTACACCCCCCAACTGTATCACTGCGCAGAAGGAAGAGTGCATCTACTGCTATCTCACCTAGCACCACTGAGCTAGCTAACGTTAAAGCTCAGCCGAGGAGGACGGCATTAATGTTTACATTTTGCACTGTCACAAGCACGAGCCTCTGATCCATGAGTAGATGCACACATCCTTCTGCCTGATTATACAGTTGCCGGGTGTAGTTCGGTAGAAAGAAAATAGTTCCTACAGGAAACTGCTCAAAACAAGGTCTGTGGATTATCTTGAGTAACCAGCTCATGATTTCTGGAACGAGACATTGCTGTTGAGTTTTACAAATGTATTTTTTGTGCTTTGAAGGTCTCTACAGCTGATATCTCCAACACTCTGCAACTCACACCAAAACAATCTAGACTGATAAACAGCACTACAAGTAAGAGGAAAAATATATATTTTGATTTTGGGATGAACCGTCTCCTTAGTGGCGCTGTCCCTTGAAAAATAAAGCATGCTCATGCTTCTAAAGATATAAATAAAGTCAGCTGGTTTCAATATTTTTGAACTGAGGAGTTTTTCATTGTTAAAATGTCCAGACAGTTAATTGGAGTATAAAATGAGCGTGCTTGCTCAAAAAAACCCCATTGTGAATAACAGGAAGCATCACCACCCAGTTTAATAACATTTTGTGCAGTAACATTACTTTTTCTCTCCACAGTCAGTGGCACCGTCTGCTTCTGCGTGCTGAGCAAGAATCAAATTTAGAAATAAGTAATTTGACTCACATTTCATATTTGTTCTTCTACATTAAATTGGCTCGGGATAATTCAGTGAATGGGGGATGCACTATTTGCATTTGCCATGTAATGACATTTATTGATTTCTAAATAATTTTAATGGAGTGAAAGTGGATTTCCAAACCCTGACCCACCCAGTTAGGACAGGGTCACCCAGACCAGAGTACTGTGACATGTGTTCATCTGACCTTGATCCACATCAAAAGTATATAATGACAAAAATCATTACACTCTCTCCCTGTTCTTTTACGTCTTATTTTTCTCATTCAACTTAAAATAGAGAAATAAATGTCTGGAAAGAGTTGGAATTCTGAGAGACCAAAACACTGAGTGCTTAAACCTGACTTTGTGAATGTGTTTTCTTAAAAATTCAACAACAGAACCCTTCATTATACAAGTATAACCAAAAGAATAAAGTATGATGCACTATTATATAATACACAACACATAATAACCTGCTATTAACGTCAGACAAAAATCACACTGTGTCATTTACAGTGTCAGTTACCTGCTTAAGTTTCCAAATATAAGGTTCCTGCTTCAGCAACACATTCATAAAGACCACAGAGGTGGTGTCACTTTCTGATGATGTCATGACAACATTGGCGTCAGGCTCAAACATCACTCTGTTGATTGGCTCCTGGTGGATGTTGGGGATGTGACGGTAGGAGACCATGTCATTGTGTTTACCGAGGTCCTGTTGTCACGAAGGATAACAATAAATGCTTATATGTAAAATGGTGTGAAGTCAATAAGTGCTTATTATTGCTGACTCACTGTTACACTGTTTAAAATTTGGGTTTGCATGGCACTTTTCTCTGCAAGAACCAGAGACTGAGCTAAGTAGACAAGGCCATGCTTACTGGAAAAAAGATCCTCTGCGGGCCCTTCTCTGCCTTGGATGGATTTTTGAAAAGACCTTTAGATGGGTTCAGAAACCACATGAGATGTACACCTCCTCTTTCATCCCCCAGTAGCAGCAGTGAAGGTCGCTTTGGACACTTTGAGGGAAAAACCACATGAAGTGATGATTTTATTGATTTTCGAGTACATTTGTGAAGCAAAAAAGGACATCTCAAGGGAGTGGTCCTACCTGAACATCATACCAGTAAAAAAGAGCAGTCGGGACACTACGAAACCCTTGGAGCAAAGACGAGACAAAGAGTTAACACTTGAAAATTTGGATAATTGTACCGTCACTGATTCTTATTAGTGAACAGCTCAGTTTAGTAACAGCAATCACGTATACCAAACAAGTGGACATCTTCAAACAAACTGCCCATGGAGACATTGACAAAATGCAAGTCCCTGCAGTCAGTTGCTATGGCGACCTTGTGGACGTTGCCCATAGAGACAGCATCAGTGGTCCAGCCTCTGAATCTCCTGGTGTTGGCCACTTCCTCTGTTGGATCTCCAGCAAGCTGCATTAAATAGAATTAAATATTAAACGTGTGAGTGAGTGTGTTGTGCTTCCATGTGAATGTAAAAGTAGTACCATGATGTCACTCACCCCTAGGGTTTTGAGGATGTGTAGGCTGCTGCTCCAGACAGTGATCTGGCCTCCCTTACTGACACTGACATAGCGGAGCGGAGGAGGGTGGGAAACAGCAACCACACGCACTGTTGGCTCCCGCTGCGGAGGAATGAGTTAAAATATAATGAATTTAAAAAAAAGGTCATTGGAGCAATAAAAGTATTACTTTTAGAAAAATGATGCATAAGAAGAGCAAAGAAAATTAGAAAACTGAGTGCAGCTAGTAAACTTGTCACCCCGCAGAGGATGCTAACGGCAACTTCTGGAGCAATCAATATGCCTCAGCCTGCCTTATAGCACTGGCAGCTAACACTTTAAGTATCATTTATAAAAACGTGTATGTGCTGTAAGTTTTAAACCCATATAAAAAGATTACTGTTAAAGCCCAGGGCAGATATCTAACCTGGGGACAAGAGACAGACAAAAACAAAACTCGTTTTGGGGCAGAAAACCTCCATTGGCTAACAACACACACGGCTGGCTAACGTTGTTAATATGCTAGCTAACTGCTAACACATACAGCAGACAGGCAACAGACACAATGCAACATTTTTCTCCACTGGAGCCCTGTTTCTGTCCACCTGACAAATATAAATCCGATATTCACTTTCTTTTTTAACTTCGTTTTGGTCTCTGACAACGTCTAAGGTGCTTTAGCTTGCTAACGTTGGACTTTCGTCACCAGCTAGCATAACTGCTATCTTTGCCAGCTGGTGCTGGGCAGTTAGCTTTGCTGATGCTGAAAGCCTCTGACTGGTAAGTTGGTAAGAATAAGACTGGCCTGTATACTTTTACAGTAGGCTTGTCATTATTAGTGACTCTTTTTACATTAAATGTAACATAATCTGGGGTTACTTACATGTAAGTTAGTGTAGGAATGTTTGTTTTATTAAAGTTACATTTGTTAGGCTTTGACTGAGTAAGGTTACAAAAACTACTTATTATTAAAGTTTTTATTAAAGTTTACCCCAAAATTAAAAATACATATTTTTTCCTCATACCTGTAGTGCTATTTATCAATCTAGATTGTTTTGGTGTGAGGTAACGAGTGTTGGAGATATCAGCTTTAGAGATGTCTGCCTTCTCTTGAATGTAATGGAACCAGATGACACTCAGCTTAGGCTCAAGGAGGTAAGAAATACATTTGAAAAACTCAGCATGATGTCTCTTTCCAGAAATTATGACTCAAGATAACCCACATACCTTGTTTTGAGCAGTCTCATGTAGGAACTATAGAGTGCCCCAGAAATGAGTCGTAAAACCTGGAAATGAGTTAGTGTTTTTGCACTGTTTTTGCACATGTCAATGGGTTTTTGGTTAGATGCCTGAAGTGACTTCTTTGGTTAACACAAGCTTCAGAGAGTTTCACGTTTTGTTGTACAACATAAAATTTGTCAGTTAGTACCACACCTGTGAATTTTGAAGCTTTATGTGTCTTAAAAAAGGCAGCTGCTAATAAGTAGCTAAATGAGACTCCAGGACGCCATCACGCCAAACATGGCTTTGCAGCCTTGTTGTGGTGGCGAAGTTAATTCATACGATTGTGGTGTAGTTCATTTATAGCCTAAGTTTTTACTTCTGGTGATTGAATTTTGGCTTCAAAAATCATAAAATAGGTGTTCATTTGTGAAGATATCGGCCTATCTTGCAGACCAAAACATGTAAGTATCATAAATGTTTGTTTGCCACAGAGTTTAATTTGAGCAACTAATCCAAATCCAATGGAAAAATCCCATAGGCTCGTTGACGAGAGGAACAGGGGTAACAGTAACTTCGCCCAGAAAAACAGAAAAACATCATCCCCAAAATGCTTTTTTTTCTTTCTACCAAAATACACCTGCTAACCATATCACCACACAGAAGGAAGCATGCATCTACTCATGGATGAGAGACTTGTGCTTGTGACAGCGCAACATGAGCTGCTGAGCTGTAATGTTAGATAGCTCAGTGGTGCTAGGTGAGCTAGCAAGAGATGCACGCCTCCTTCCACGCGGTGATACGGTTGGCGGGTGTAGTTCAGTAGACAGAAAATAGTTCCTACATGAAACTGCTCACAACAAGGTCTGTGGATTATCTTGAGAAACCGTGTCATGATTTCTGGAAAGAGACATTGCTGTTGAGTTTTTCAGATGTGTTTTTAGGCACGTTGAGTACCATCTAGTTGCCATCTAGTTCCATTATATTGGAGAGAAGGCAGACATCTCTGCAGCCAATATCTCCAACACTCGCCAACTCACATCAAAACAATCTAGACTGATAAATAGTACTACAGGTAAGAGGAAAAATAGGTATTTTTTACATTTTTGGGTGGACTGTGCCTTTAACCTAGCTTCTGCATTCCTTGGGCAGGTAGACACAAAGTGGGTGCAATCTGTCTCTTCACAAAATGACACTGAGATCTGTTAGTCTTTAAAAAAACCTTTAAATTTGGCACCCCCATTTGGCCTTTCAGTGTATCAGTTTAAACAGTGGAACATCCTACAAACATGCACACTTACTTCTTACTTCTCATTTTACCAGATATCGAATGTTGGATTTCTACCTTGTTATGAGAGCAGTGTCTCATCAGTGGCTGGGAGTCCAGGAGAGCAGCTCTGGGGATGGAGGCTCTTTCTCTCTCAGTGTACTCCAAAAGCAGGTAGGAACAAAGCTGCTGCCAATTCACCTCCCCGGTACAGCGAATATCTACCTGGATATGAAACAATGGCCTTACATCATCATCCTAAAACATGTGTTGGCACAATAAGTTTATGCTGATGGGTGGGCTGTATTACACTATTTTACAGCCTGTAAAGTATGTAGCTAATGTACTTTCTCATAGACATCTCTTTATTTCTCCTTACCTCACTGAAGAACCTTTCAACCCATGTGTCCTCAACATCTGGACCGACCACAGACCTCAAAACATCCCGGAACTCTTCGAATTTCATTCCATGCTCTTCATTTCCTCCTCTGTTCCTTCTACTCCTTCCTTTCGGCCTGTTTTCGTGTGTCTGTGCTCCAGCTTTTGGATGGGTAAATGCATTTCTTAGGTGCTGCAGGTGCTCAGGGCTCAATTTTTCTGCAGGACTTACTCCACAGGCTGGATCACTGCAGCATTGATCATAAAAGAAAATATTAATTTGTGCGGAAATTGGATAATTTTTCAGTTTACTTAATTCTTGTGTGTGCAGGTGTATAGCTGCTTGAAAAACATGGAGGACATAAGCATAAAGAAAGAAGTAAAGACAGTGTGGCTGTGTAGGATTGAAGCCAACAGAGGCCAAAGACTGATTAATTGGGGATAATTTATTGTCTTAGCATCACTTATTTATAGTTTTTGTTAATAAGTTTTGACTGTTTATTAATTCCGTCAATGACTGCCTCACAGCATGAATGAATGCAGCGCTCCCAAGTGGCAGCTTTGGGACAACACACTGCTGATCCAAAAGTCCGTCTTTCAAAAAACTCTTTATGATGTATATCCATCTGAAACATCCACTAAGTGACAGGAATATATGTGATCTGAACAGTGCACTTGGTAAATGTTGCGAATGGGGAATAAGTTTGATTTTGGGGGACGTGCTTAAAACATCAAAGTGTTCTTCACCACCAGCAGCTCCTGTGTGGCCCCGTTGCTCAGGGAGACTCCAAGCTGGAACAATAAGTCACATGTCTCAGCATTGTGAGCTCTTTTCCAGGTCCATCAGGACATGCATGAGTGGTCCTTTACATCATACACATTTCTCACTAATGCTAATGGAACCATAAAATAATTAAGTAATAAAAGTGTATTAGTTTGCTGAAAAGGGAGGTCAGAAATGACTGCTGTGTCTCAAAGAGTTGGCGACACTGTGTGTGAAGGGTGGAAGAAATCCTTGTCAGTGTCTGAGTGGAGAAAATTTGTGAATCTGAACCAGAGAGATGCAAATGTACAACTCAATAGATGACTTGACTTCTTGTACTGTCAGCTGAAGATTGAAACTGGCATATATATTTCACAGTATTTTTTTATTTGACAGGAAGAGATTTGAGATGTTAAAATGTGAGATGATATCACACAATATAGACAAATTGTATGACATTATGGAGAAGTATTGTGAGGTATAGCCTACATACCACATGTAAAATTGGCAAACAGGCTTTTGTATGCAGTAACAGCTCATATACAGTTTATTAACAGTGATCAACAAGCCAAAGAAAACTCACCAAAACCTGCTGTATGGCACTTCTGTCTCATAGAGTACCCATGGATTTTTTCTGTTTCTTAAGATATCCATACTGATAACTGGAGCCTCACTGTTTGAACCCTCTTTAAATTCTTCCAATCACCAAACACTGCTCCATCTTTGCCCGTTGAATTTTACATCCAGTCCAAAGATGCAGCACCTACAAGTGTTGAGGCCAGTCTGAGATCGTCACCATGCTCTGAGTCTAAACATCCAGGGCCTTTGTTGCCATCCCTTCCTCTTGCCTTTCAGGCAAACCTGATGTCCTCAAACAAAGCTTCTCGTCTCCAAACAAGGAAGGAATGTCCACGTCCACGGATCAATAAGTCATCCGTCACAAGAGTTTGATTGCTCAGAGAGGGGGAAAATCAACACATCGCTGGTGAGGAGAGTGTGGAGAGATGAGTGTGTCCAAAATAACTGAAAGTCTGCTGGGGGTAACAGAGCCACAAACCCTACAGACAGGCCCTCGGTGGATTAATCATTTATAGACGCAAAGTTAGTCAGAAGCACCCAGGAGAGTTAATATTGGTAACTTTCACACAGGGACAGTTCAGCTGTTCCAACATAATAAGGCCTATGATGACGTCCTTTAAATTATACTGAAGTATATATTTAAGTATATATCCTGTGCAAATATATTCCAACTTAAAAAGAGTGAAATCAATGATTCTTTGTCATAGTTTTACTTCTATAACTATTGCAGTATAATTATTGCCAGGCAACCCACAGCACTCTTACTCACCACTTCAATGAGCATGAGCCACATTGGCCTCTCACCATGTCTAATGAAGGTACCTAAGTCCCAGCGGAGTCTGGTCTGCTGGGCAAATCCTTGCACCTGGTCTAATATTAGACCTTCACACACCAGTAGCCTGTACTGTAACTGGCTCAGATATCGACATAATGCATGTGTTATGTGATGCAATGGCCAGTAATGAACAACAGAATATAATGGCACACAGTAATATACTTTTTCCCAGCATATTTTGGCTTGTTATAGTGAAATAACCACAGGTGGAAATAGCAAGATGAAAAAAATGGCACCTGTTTTGCCATGTCACCTTTTTACAGCAGGGTCTGTCATAGCAGTGATTAGTGAATCTTTGAGGGTGACCTCAGGCATCTCAGGAGGACACATTTGTCAGCATTTCTGCAGATATACCAGACTTAAGCTTCTGTTCCAATTAAATCAGGAGGCAGGAAAATAATTGTTTCCAAAGGTATAATGTATTATGCAGTAGAAATCAGGAGCAGCAATGATATTAAGCAGTGCAAAGACAGAAGCAAGAAATGTAAGCTCACATTCCTGGACACATTGCATCTGTACAATCAGGGTTAATTTACCGTCATTCTACAACACAGGCATGCAAAACAAAATGCACTAGTAGTCCATTTTAGGCTGCATAACAAACAGTTATCTTATGGTAGAGATGAGGATGAGGTGGAGTTGAGGAGATTTCTATTGCATAAATATTAAGGGTTTTTTCTGTTTGTTTGATGGAAATGTATCCCCTACTGATGCAGTGCTAGCAGATCTTTTAGTATTATTATTATTATTATTATTATTATTATTATCAAAGAGCCTTGTAGTAATAGTATAGTAGGCTATTTATTAGAGGAGTGGAGGATGAGGTGGAGTTAAGGAATTGCGGTATATTTATGTTTTTTTTTTTAATTTGAAATGTACTTATTTATTCATTTATTAATTTAATTTGCCTTTGTTGAAATGTGTTTTTGCAAATGCAATGCCATTCAGGTTTTTTTAGGCCTTGCAGTGGTGATGAGGTAGGCTACTTTTAGGCAGGAATGGCTCTCCCAGTCAACTCTCAAATATACATGCTATTGCACGGAACGGCCACGAGATGGAGCCACAGCCAAAATATGTGATAGCAGTTGTAGTCTGTTATATGATACATACAAAAAAATTCATCATGGTGGAGTGGAGGATGAGGTGAAGTTGAGAAATTGCAGTATACTGCATATTTCAATTGCATACATACTCTGTTTTTTGTTTTGTTTTTTTGTTTGTTTGTTTGTTATTTTTTTGGTTGGGGTTGGTTTTGCTTTTGTTGAAATGTTTCCCTGAACATGCAACATTATTCAGATATTTTTTTCCTTGACAAAGAGCCCTCCAGTAGTGATAAGGTAGACTATTTATGGGCTGGGGTGGCCCGTCCCAGTGTCAACAACCAAATATATATGCTATTGCGCCGTACAGCCACTAGATGGAGGCACAGCCAAAATATTTAACAGGAGTCTTCCACTTTATGACACACAAGAGAAAAACTATTTTTTAATGGTGAAGTGGAAGATGAGGTGGAGTTAATGAGTTGTCATAAATTTCAATTGCATTTGTTGTTGTTGTTTTGTTTCTGCTTTTGTTGAAATCTGTCCCTGCCCATGCAACGCCTCCTCCCAGTGCCCCCGTGTCAGCTCTCAAATATACATGCTATTGCGCATTACAGCCACTAGATGGCGCCAGAGGCATAATATCTGATCAGTGCTCAACCATGTATAGGCAGTGTACCCAAAGACTGGCAGGAATCATTAATACAAAGGAAACATCTGGCGCAATTGAATTCACGAAACAAAATAATCGTTAGGGCTATTACAATATGTAAATGCTCTGAATTCAATGAGGAAAAACGGAACTCCTCTCTTCCTCTGTCAGTGATACAGTCTGTGCCATCTCCTCTCAGCTGTACTCACACGATGGCAGCAACAGCTCACTGACCTCCACTCAGGATAATTACACCCCCGTGATCCGCCCCTATTTCCCTCTTGTTCTCACAGACGGGACTTGGAAATGTACTTCCTCAGCCCTGCCCTGTCTGCTTCAGTGATGGGGCAGTGAGGATGCCAAAGCACGACAATCCTGTGTAGACTTTTTTTTTTTTTCATTTAATTCCTCAACTTCTCTGATTTAATCATTTTTTACCTTGTTTGTGACCATGTTGCGGGTTGTGGTAGAGTCGGCTAAAGGTCTGCCTAAGAAGAAAGTTGGAAGCCCTGATCCAATCACCTCTGTGATCTTTAAAGGTAAGACTCATTTTAAAAGTCTTTAAAAGTTTTAAGTGTGTGTGCTGTGCGGGGAAAATCACTTATAGCCTGTTATTTGGGGATCAAGAAGCATGTGAAGTGAGCTTTTGGGACTAATGTGAAGTTCATAGCTGCTCAATTCACTTTACTTTTATCTAGCATGACGTCATTTTATGGATTTAATAGTTTTACTGTGATTTTATATGGTAGTCCAATAAATAAACTATACAGCAGTGTTATGCTTAAGTGTTCTTGTACTTGTGTATTAATTAAAAGTCCAGTTGTCCATGTATAATTGAAAAGTTAAAGACAAAAGTGTCAGAGTAGTCCCTGTTTAAATGTACAATGTTTAAAACCCTAATCTGCACAAGTAGTATTGCATCATTAAAGACTTTCCCAACATGTCACTGCACATCCAGATGCAAAGACAGCTGGGTAGCTTGGACCAAGCTGGGACCTGTCGTGTACACGTGAGCTCAGACATGTCATGGAGAGAAAAGGCACATTAGGTGGTGCAGGGAAATTAGCCTTTAGCTATTGAATTAAAATGGCATCAGATAGAGAGTGACATTGCCTCCCTGATGAGGAAACAGTCCTGGCAATCAGCCCTGGTTACTCTCAGGTGTTTTCTTTGTACCCATGTCATTATCATCACTCACAGGTGTGGCAGCTTCTCTGTTTTTTTAGCCCTCCTTCCCTGTGAAGGCAGAAACTGCAGCCCACTGAAAACAACTATCACTCTTTTTGCAAAGCATTAAGATCTATGTAAACTTACACACAGCAGTGATTTGACGTTTTCCACAAAACAAGTGGGTAAAATGATAATAGGGGTATGCCTGTGTGTCCCAAACTGCAGAGACTGAGTGTAGAATAATTAATATTCACAAATATATTTCCCTTTCAGATGAGAAGAAGAAAACAAAAGCAATTGACAGTGAGCTGAACCCTGTGTGGAACGAGGTAAATCTCCATCACACACACACAAACATGCACATACTTCTGCCTCTCGCTTCTACTTTGATTTTTAATCTGAGTTAATTTCAATCAGCTTCTAAGGAAAGCTGGAAAAAATGATATATTACAAGACGTCCCCACTTTAAATGCAGCATTACACATCACATGGTAAACATATACAGTACTGTGACATCACATCATATGACTCACAGTATGTATCGTCCATGCCAAAAGATAATGTGATGGATGTAGATAAGTCTAAGAGTTTGTTGCACTGGCTGAGTTGACAAATCATTATTTACCCAGTTGCTTCTTCAGGACATAACAGAAGCTGAAGTACCATATCTGATGGACTGTGTATCCCTCATCTTGTCTTGCAGGTGCTTGAGTTCGATCTGAAGGGCATTGGGCTGGACTCTAGCTCCTACATAGATGTGGTTGTGAAAGACTATGAAACTCTTGGGAAAGATAAGTAAGTGTAATACAAACCCGAGCTCCCTGTTTAGCTTTGGCTTTTGTGCAACAAGCCGGATCACAGCGATGGGAGAGAAGATGTGTGCCTCACCTTACTGAATCACAGTGCAAACAACTTCTTGTCTGAACAAAGGCTTTCTGGAGAACGGGTCTGTTTTTATTAGATGGACGGTTAGCTAACAGTCGCTTTTTCAGTTGTATGGCTGTCAGGTTTTTTTTTTTATTACAGTTATTTAGATACAACGAAGGCAATCAAATATAAGCTGTCACTAGCTCAGCCTCAATCTGAAGTACTTTGGCTGCAAAATAAGTATTTGTACACAACCTGCTGGTTAGGATACACATTAATATCCACACTGTCACTCTAATAGACAAGAAGTTAGATACTATCGTAGTAACCCTGTGTTTGAGTTATGTAGCTGGCTGTTACTGCCCCCTCACACCCTTCTTGCCATGCTGAGACTTGCTGGCTTGTGTGGGATGACTGAGCCTGATTGGGTAACAATGAATGGATGAATTGCTGTTTGTGTTCTCTCTTTCTTTGGGATTTTTGTGGTACTGTGTCACAGAGGACAGGATCAAATCTTAAAGGAAAATACTTTACTTGGCAGTTACTTGCCAGAGCATTGCAGTGGTGCAATCCTAGTGCATACAGTATGAATGAAACTGTGTGAGGAGAGGTGCTGTAAAGCTAAATACTCACTAAGTTGCCCAAAAACAGTTGAAGATTGTTGTTTCCATATAAAGCCTGAGTCACATATGGGACCAATCTGAATCAACCACAAAGAATGTTTCCGTGACATCACTAATTACAATGATCAAAGTCTCGTCTGTGATAAGAAAACAAAACACATGAAAGTATCTCTTTAGAATTTATGTCTAACACACCATGTTCACTGTATAT